ACCAACATTTGCTCTCAAAACAACAGACTCACATGGAAAACACAGTGTTCTGCAGCTGTCACCTTTGGTGATGCTTTATATAAAAATTTATGTGCCAATCATTTTGCTTCTGAAAAATGTTTTTCACAGTTATTTCATCCTCCAACTCAAAAGTTTGCACTTTGAGCAAGGATTCTGCCACTCCTGTCGTTCTTACAGCAATAACAGACGTTCTTTATTTTTGTCCTGTCTCAGTCATAACTTCTTTTACATAATAACAATACAAAATAATCTTATGTGATAATCAGGACATACACACTGGGATACACTTTTCTGCAAGAACCACAAAAGAATGTTTGAGTTTTGGTTACATTATTTGGCTAATAATTAAGAGTTCATCAGGTCTGCAATATTGAGGTCCTGTTTTGGTTGTAATATGAACATGTAACCATGGTTTGGCAAGTGACCCAGTCCACACTTAACTTTACACACTGGTTTGAAGAAAAATGAATTTATTTCATTCGGAAGGTGAGGGACCAGGGTAGAGTGTAGCTACAATTTTATTATATTCCGAGATTCTGTAACAAAAGACATTATAAAAATTAAATGACTTGATATTAACAAACATTACGTGAGTCATCCACATGATTGGGTCACCATAAAATATCAAAAGCATCACAAGTAATCATAAATCTAGTCTCTTTCCAACTTTCATTCTTATAAAACTCTAAAAGATTTAGTAAACCTTTTGCAGAAAATACAGGTAAGGGTTTTGTAGACTTTCTCAATAACAATAATAATACACACCCATAAATATACTGTGAGATTTCATCTTTGTCTCAAAACAACGGTCATACCTAAACACAGTGAATTATATTAAAACCTGTACACATGTCATCAAAAGTGGTAACACTCATTAAATGTAGAAACACATATTAAATAGTAATAACACTATCCTAAATGATTGTATTAAATGTTTGAATGGATTTTTTTTTCTTTGCTTGGTCACAGTGCCATAAGGAACTACTGAGCAGTTAAACAGACAATATTAAAAAATAGTCTCAGCTGAATCTCTGACTTTTTCTCATGAACCCAAATAAATAATTGCTCAAAATGAACACCACCCTCAATTTCACCCTTTACCGAAGATGAGATTCACTGATGAGAGGGGGCAAACGCACATTACTGATTACAGTGTTAATGCGACAGGGAAACTGGGGAATAGCATTTGTGCCGCATGCCTTTAAACTGTAACAGCAGACCTGCAGATTGATTCAGTCGCTCCACTGTGACTCCTGCTATACAGGCTATTTAGAAGTCCAAATCTGTCAGCCCGGAAACACCACCATTATATTCTGGGCTGCACTCCACTGCAGTGCTGTAACTCTGTAGGTCTCAAGAGAAGCTTTAGGTAAATTACGCAGTTGATTCTTGCATACACTGATGACACAGAAAACACCGTAATTTCAACAGGAAGACACAGAAATGAGAGAAAGAAACAAAACATTTGCAGGGGTTACTTTTTGTCAGTGTGGCATTACATAAGCACAGGGCACATACTGCAATGCTATCCTCTCAATCTCCCAAAAAACGCAGTGGCAAGAGGGAAATGTCTTGAGTGCTGGGCACCTTACATTTGTCCAAACAGTATGGAACAGAGAAGGAATATGGCATAGAGCAACATCAATCCAAAGCCCAACCGTTTGTCCAACTTCCAGTGGTTCAGATGTACACTCACCACCTGAGAAGGAAAGGAAGAAAGAGAGAGAGACAGTAGAGGGAGATATCACGACTCAGAGCTAAAATGCATAAGTGACATTTTAATTCATTTAGTTTTCAGAAGACAGAAACAAATATCCCATGTGAAATTTTGAGGCAAACATTTGATAGGACATATTGGAGTTGTTCTCTGAGAAAAACTGGGAGGAAGCTATTTTGTGGAATGCACGAAGCATGCAGAAACCAGCCTTGTACCTGGTTTGTGCTTAGTATGTCCATATATAATTTATAATAATATATATAATTACATAGCACATACTTAAAATACATAAAATGTATTATATTTACATGCATTATAATTTACATCTAAGAATTCATTTTAAAAGTTTCCAAAGCAGATTAATTGAATGAAAATGTAAATGATCATTTCTCTGAGAACAGCTGTTCAATGAGATGAGGCTGAGGGGTGTGACCTTTGACCCCTGCTGTGAGGCACTTACTGTGAGACAGACAGACGCAAGAAGCAGAATGACTGAGTACACCAGCCCTTTGTTGTTGATGGAGACCTGGAAGAAGGAGGACAGCCAATGAAGGCTACAGAAATGATAGAAATTACTTCTAAACTTCATTTGGTGACAGAAACAAAACATTGCCCTTGCTCCACTTACATTGCACTATTGGCATTTAGCAGACACTCTTATCCAGAACTACTTACATAGGTTACAATTTTTACATAACATTTACACAACTGGATATGTACTGAGGCAATTCTGGGTAAGCTCCTGTCCCAAGGGTACATTCCAGCGGGGAATGGAACCAGCAACCTTCCGGTTATGAGCCCTGCTCCTTACGATTATGCTACACTGTCAACCTTATGAACTTCAGCAAATAATAGCTTCCTCCACTAGCTGCACTAAGCTCAGTTAGGGTCTAAAGCCACCCAGAACACAGAAGGTTATCAGATCGAGATCCCAAAGAGCACTCACCGTTGATCCAAAGCCCACCACCAGAGTGCGGAGAGTCCAGGGGAAGCCCAGCCCCAGGAGGATGTCAAAGATATTGCTCCCAATGGAGTTGGACACAGCCATGTCCCCCATCCCTGCACAGAGGGACAGAGAGGTGGGTCAAACAAGCACATCTCTCAAATAGGTGATTACCACACAGGCTGTGAGATTAATTCTGTTTTTGTATAGTGTTATATATTTTGTTAAGTTTTATATAGAAGTTGGGGGTTAAGAATATGTAGAAGATTAAGAACCTTGGTCACTGCCTATACTGTAGCTAATGACGCCATGGGAAAAGAAAGGGTTAATAAACTAGGTCACTGCCTATATTGTGGCTGATGACAGGATGAGAACAGAAAGGATTAATGATCTCAGTCTCTGCCTATACTGTTGCTGATGACAGCATTACAACATGAATGGTTACAATCTCAGTCTCTGCCTGTACAGTAGCTGACGAGACCATTAGAACATAAAGGGGGTATCTGGAGATCTCTGAGACAGAGAGAGGGAGGGTGAGAGAGACAGAATGTGGAATAGGACTGCAGACAGAGGCAGGAGACAGGAATTACTGATAGAGAGTAAGGGGAAGAGAGAGAGAGACAGATAGACAGAGAGAGACAGAGAAAATGAGGGGAGAGAAAGAATGAGGAGGAGGAGAGAGAGGGGGAGAGAGAGAAAGAGAAGGACGAGGAGGAGAGAGAGAAAGAATGAGGAGGAGAGAGAGAGAGAAGGGGGAGGATGAGGAGGAGAGAGGGAACGAGAGGGGCAGAAAGACAGAGGCTGAATGAATGTGGGTGTGGCTTACCTTGCCGGGCGACGATGAGGCTGGCCATACAGTCGGGGACGCTGGTGCCTGCCGCCAGGAAGGTGATGCCCATGATGAAGTCGGGGATGTCCAGTGTGTGGCTGATGATGGTGACCTGGGGGGCACAGAGACAGGGAGAGCCCCCTCCATCACCCACACACACCCACCATCCACTAATACGGAAGTACCACTGACCCCCCTAGTGCTGTCAGCGGTGCAGACTCATTCAATTAAAGTGCAGCATTGAGACCCACTGCTGAAACAAGTCTTGTTGATTACCAGTTAATTAGCAGTTGATGTACTTGAATAAATTACTGGCAGCACATCTTGGTAAACACTCCCGATTCTTAAAGTTGTTCAACTGCAAGTGACTGAAACACAACACTGTGGCGAGAGTGCAAGGCCCAGTACAGCCCTAATTACATTACAATTACATTACATTATTGGCATTATTATATATACATTATTATTTTAGCAGACACTCTTATCCAGAGCGACTTATATTGGTTACAGTTTTTTATAATGTTACTTATTTATACAGCTGGCTATTCACTGAGGCAACTGTAGGTTAAGTACCAACTGCAGTGCCCCCTGGGGGAATTGAACCGGGAACCTTTCAGTTACAAGTCCTGCTCCTTAACCACTATGCTACACTGCCTCCCCGGGATAACGGATTAAATGGGTCAAACTCAGTCCACCCCTGTCCGGCCTACCCCAACTCGGCTGAGCCTTACCATCCACACCATGAGGTAGGAGAAGACGGCGATCCACAACGTGGAGCCCACGAAGGTGACCATGAACCAGCGGTGCCAGCGCGGGAACACGCAGTTGGGCACGGTGCAGTACAGCAGGAACGCCAGGGGCCAGGACACCAGCCACTTCACACGGGCACAGCCTCCCTCTGGTGCAGAGAGCGGGCGGTGTCACGGAGAGAGAGCGTACATCATCCCCCACGACTCAAGAGCGTCACACACTCACAAAACGCCACGCGTATACAGCACTCCTGGTGTTAGGCCCATGTTCATTCAAGTAAACAGGTTAACTTGTGGTAGGGCTTGAATGGTGTTATGCTCACACTCACTGGTCTGTGAGTGTCGTTAGCCTGGTCTGACACTGTTGCCCATTTAACTTGAATGGCTACTTATGTTCTATTGCACTGGCCAACTGCGCAAAATTTGCGCAAAACTGTAAAAATTGTAACCTATGTATGTTGCTCTGGATAAGAGCGTCTGCTAAATGCATGTAACGGAATGCAACACGGAACATCAATAAATGATACTGAACCACACACTCACATGTGTGAAGAATATCATACACACATATGATTTATGACATGATCACACACAATACAGACAGCCACACATGACATTAATGTCATTTAGCAGATGCTCTTTCCAAGAGTGAAATACAATGTTAAAGTTTTAAATGTTATCTATATATATGTATACATACTGAAGAAATACTGGGTTAGGTAACTTGCCCAGAGAATACAGTAGCAGTGGCCTGATGAGGAGTTGAACCAGCAACCTTTTGGTTATGAGCCCTGTGCCTTACCACTACGCTACACTGCCTCCCCCTTCCAGTGTATATCATACAATGATACGCCATCACATGGTGATAATGAGTAGCCCTCATATAGAGCCTTCCATCCTTTCCAAGTATCTCAAAGCGTTTCAGAGTGGGGGGGGGCCCATCACAACTACCCACCTACTCCGGACCACATAATCACACACAACAGTGTGTGAGTGTCATGTATCAAAACAGGATCTCTCTCTCACACACACACACACACACACACACACACACACACACACAGTGATTTACTGTGAGGACATCCGTGAAGCCCTGCCAAAGTCTGAACGCCTCCACTGAAAAGTCATCACTCCGCATACTGTCACCCAGTTTGGCTTCCTTGACAGTTCCCTCACATTCACTTCACTTATGAGTCACTTGGGCTTGGTGTGGGTGTGTTTGTTTTAGATCAACATGGACAAAAGGTGACCACATTAGACCTAGTGTACCGTCAATCTGGATAATTAGCTAGCAAGGTCTACAGATAGCGATTACATTGGCAAGCTAATAAGATACATTATAAAGCAATGTTTGTCTTCTTCCAGCGTGTTCAGGATGTGAATTTTGGCCCACACTGTGCTGACAGTAACTCACTAATAGTGACCATTACATGCATTTAACAGATGCCCTTATCCAGAGTGGCTTCCAGCACAAAAGAACAGAAGTGTATGCATTCAAGTTAAATGAACAACGGTGTCAGACCAGGCTAACAACACTCAGAGACCAGTGATTGTGAGCATAACACCATTCAAGCCCTACCTCAAGTTAACTTGTTAACTTAGTTTTCTGGCAATTCATCTTTCATACCTTATTTCATGTTGATAGAAATCGAAAGCTTATGCTAACCCACTGGCCGAGAAGAAGAATAAACCCAGACCTGAATGGCAGTGTGTGAAATGATGCCTTATTGCTTTGAGTAGGAGGATGTTTTGGATGAGTCAGGTTTGGATAAGGGCGAATTGGATAAGGTGACGAAGCCTTTTCTGGATGACAGGGCAAGGGTTTGATGGCTTTTCGTCTGAGGTGCGAGGGAGTTTTGGATGAGGGGGTTATGGATGAGGCTGAATTGGATGAATGAGGCACAGACTAATGCCTCTTCAGCCACGCTGTGAGGATTCCCTATGTGGGTGTCCTCAGATGAACACAGAGCGTTGCCCATCGAGCTGAACCAAACACACAACACATAGCATCGCACGCACACACAGTACCATTCAGAGGTTTGGACACACCTGATTAAGATAATGGGAAGCACGCATTCAAAGACATTTTGATCTAAGGACTGCTGGAAATTTGTTTCTTAGATAAATATAAATTGTGAAGTTGATGCCTATGTATGAATTTTTTTCCAAAAACGTTTTTATTTTTTAAATATTTTTTTTGCTACTTTGAAGAATCTAAAATAAAACACAGTTTTCATTTGTTTAACACTTTTTTGGTCAATGGAATTATGCCATTTGCGTTATTTCATAGTTTTGATGTCTTTACTATTATCCTAAAATGTGTAAAATAGTAAAAATAAAGAATAAAAGTTTTGTCGAAACTTTTGACTGGTACTGTACTACATCACATACTCACACACAGCACAGAACATTGATCACTGACCGCAGGACCAGTTTGAACAGCACAGCACAGCTCTGGGCGTGGGGTCACTGCTCATGTAATACTGCCAACCCAAGCCCAGATCCTGTGCTGTGCTGCTCAGACTTCTGAGGTCAATGAGAGGCCGGGCAAACAAAACAAACTACCAGCATTCTTCAGTTTGTGGAGGCGGGAGACAGGAGACATAGGATACTCTCTCCACTGGGTACTGGGCACTGTGGTGCCAATCGGCAGCGGAGGTACACACTCACTTGGCATATCGAGGGGCCTGAACGGCCCGTCCCCATCGTCCTCCTCCTCCCCTTCCTCAGGATGGCCGCGTTCCGCGCCCGGCTCCCCCTTCAGCCCCGCCCTCTCGTCAGCCTCCCTGTTGGCGGCCTCGTCCAGGGGCTGCCTCTCGTTCTCCGGGCTGCGCCCGTTCTCCATCACCAGAGAGCAGTCGCCCCCGAACCCGGAGCTGCTCTCTTTCACCGGGGAGTCCCCCGGCCCCACCTCGCTGTCGGTGCTGCCCCCTGGGCTTCGGATGAGTCGCTGCCTCTGCGGGGGGGTTTGGAAGGAGAGAAAGCAAGAGAGGCAGGGGGAGAGAGAAAGAGTAATTGGGAGCGAGAGAAAGAATGTGAGAGAGAGGGAGGGAAAGACAGAGCGGGAGAGAGGGAGAGGGAGGGAGAAAGGGAGAGAGCATGAGAGAGAGGGAGGCGGGGGGCGGAGAGAGAGACAGGGAGAAAGAGAAGGAGAGAGAGAGAAAGAGTGAGGAGGAGGGAGAGAAAGAGTGTGGGAAAGAGGGAGGGAAAGATAGAGCAAGACAGAAGGAAAGGGAGGGAAAAAAGGAGAGAGCAAGAGAGAGAGAGGGAGGCAGGGAGAGAGAGAGAGACAGGGAAAAAGAGAGGGAAAAAGAGAGAAAGAGTGAGGGTGGGAGAGAAAGTGTGTGAGAGAAAAGGAGGGAAAGATGGAGCAGGAGAGAGGGAGAGGGAGGAAGAAAGGGAAAGAGCACAGATCAGGGAACACCAGAAAGAGAATGGACAGCAGAGTGTTACTAAACTCATCACGTGTGGGAACATATATGAACAGGAAGTGGTGCAAGTGAACAGAAAAGCCTCAGCTTCCCCCTAAAATCCTACACGCTTCTGCCAGAGGGATCCGGACTGGGCCGCGACAGTCCGACTCTGGTCCTAACTCGCACCCGGCCCCGGGGTCTGGCACCCACCTCGTTGATGAGCATGCGGCCGGCCATGGTGAGGCGGGTGCGGGGGGAGAAGTGTGGGGTGATCATGATGCGCAGGCCGGCTTCGGAGAAGGACAGCTGGTGAGGGTGGAGGCTCAGGAGCTCATCCACCATCATCACAGGAGACTCCGGCCCGGAACACTGACCTGCGGGGGGCGCCAGAGAGTCAGAGAGGGGACACACAGCACCATAGACTGCAGTACAGACAAGTCATAGCGCACACAGGCGGACAGAAATACAAGCAGCAGTGAAGATAGATAACTACAACCAGACCTACAACACACAGACACACACAGCACAAAACACAGGCAGACACCACAACAGACAAAAGGAACAAGCAGAGAACAGCACAGACAGACACACCTCTATAATGAGTAGTAAAGTCACATGACAAAAAAGTCAGATATAAATACACACAACACAACAGAACAGCCAGCACTACTCACAGCCACACCTCACAACAGCCAAAGTTATGCACAAGCAGAAAACGGGGCAGCGGTGGACACTGACCTTTCCTAAGCAGGACATCGGCGGTGTCACAGTTTGCTCCCCCCTCTACTGCTGCTCCGTCCGAGTGTCGGTTGCGATTCATGCAGGATTGGCAAGGACCCCTGCACCGCTGCTCCACAAACCTCCAGATCGGTATGTTAAACCTGGGGTGTCCCAAACACAGCAGCTGTAGCTTTCATTTTTAATGACGATGACACTTTCTATGAATCCTCATAAGCCCTGACTTAACACGCACACACACACTCCCAAGGTGTTCGGTTTTTCTCCTAAGAGGACCTGCTATCTGCAAAAACACACAAACACACACACACACACACACACACACACGCTCTCTCTCTCTCACACACACACACAGACCCATGTATATGCACACACATATGCGCACACACACACACACATACACACATACACACACACACACTGCCACACACACACACTGACACACACACACACACACTCTGTCACACACACACACACACACACACACACACTCTCTCTCTCACACACACACACACACAGACCCATGTATATGCACACGCATATGTCACACACACACACACACACACACACACACACACACACACACACACATACACACACACACACTGCCACACACACACACTCTGTCACACACACACACACACTCTGTTACACACACACACACACACACACACACACACACACACACACACACACACACACACACACACACTCCAGTACACTGACATTAATTTCACGTTTATGTCTTTGTAGCTGCACCTCACTCTGTATTTGTGACAGTGTACCGGTCATATCATCAGTGGTATCAGCTGCAGGGGCTCAGAGCAGCAGTGCCGGACAGCAGTGTGGCGTGAACACCCCGACAGACCCCAGGTAGAGTTCTACTGCTGCTCCTTCCACCTCCACTGCTGGAGTCAAAATCCAGCTGCATGTATCGTATTTAAATCAATAACCACCGTAATCCACCTGGGATTAGAGCCTCTGCTAGGCAAACAAATCCCCGAATATAATGATCTGAACAGAATGAAGAGATGGTGTTGATCGTGATCACTAGCGCGCCCGGTGGAATGCCTAGCGCACTTGTATCTGCAGCTGTGAGGGACGGATTCGGGCGCGCGCGCTCACTTCATGATGAGAATGTAGAGGCCGTAGAGGGAGATCAGGAGCACGGACTCCCACCTGCAATTGGAGAGGTGTGCTTAGCATGGAGACCAACAGATGGAGTTCTCAGTGACTTCTACATTGCCGCAGATTTCAATAGAATCCTTCTGTTACATCACATTATTACATTATTCAATTACATTCATTTAACAGATGCTCTTACACAGAGTGGCTTCCAGCACAAAGGAGCAGAAATACATCCATTCAATTTAAATGAGCAACGAGTGTCAGGCCAGGCTAACAACACTCCCAGACCAGTGAGTGTGAGCATAACACTATTCAAGCCCTACCACAATTTAACTTCTGTAGCCTGACTAGACAAGGGAATCACAGTCACTAGATTACAGAATCCAAAACACATCACGATACTACACATAAAATAAACAGCAACTTAAGTAGCAGGTTGTTGTAAGATGTCCACATGTGAAAAGGTAATTGTGCATTGAGGGATCTCTCATTTTGAACTACCATCTAATTTTAGTTGAGTAGATAGAGAAGAAGGGATCC